AAATTTGATATTCTTACATATGAAGTTTGAACGAGTAGTTTCCGAGATATTCGCGTTTAAAGACACAGTATAACGTTTTGAAATTTCTGAAAAATCAGCAAGAAATGGCCTGTTGAATTATGGTTTCTTGTAACTTATTTTTTAGTTTGCTGAGAAAATTCGTTTTTTACTTGTTCTTATTCCTCTGCAAATTCATGTCAAACGGCAACAACACACTTTCTTGCCCGTATCAGCATGCATCAAAAAACCATCCCGTCCAAATTGCGACATGACCTAAGAATGGCTTCGCGAAGTTCTCCCAAGTTTTAAGGTTGGTGGTCATGAAGAACTTCCCAAATCTGCTGCTTTAAATAGCCCAGAGGACATGAATTTGCAGATGAATGAGAACAAGTAAAGAATTTTCTTAAAAAAACTAAAAAATAAGTTACAAGAATTTAACCATGCTACGAATGGAATGTTCCGGGAGAAATCGCTTTTACACAAAACTCACAATCTCGCACCACAAAAAATTTGTATAATTGACGAAAAATCGAGTTTGGCATTGATGTCGGCAAAGCAGGACAATTCTGGCAAACGCCGAATTTGCAACCATTGCAAAAATGGTAGAAATCGCCGTGTTTGCACGATCGGCCATTCCAAATAGACCTTATGGATAATGGCGTAACAAGCCGTGACACCTGCAGGGAATTCTGGTCTTAGTAGTCACGGCGGGTAATTTTGAAGTTTGAATTTTTTGCCGTGACTACTAAAACCAGAATTCCCTGCAGGCGTGACGGCTTGATACGTCATTATGCATAAGGTCTATTTGGACTATTTGCCAGCAGGAATATTTGATCCAGATTTGAGAAAAAATAATTTTAAACTTCAGTAGCCGGTTTTACGAAGGCTGGATAGCGCTATCCGCCGGATAGTGATTTTTTCAAGCATTGCAAAAATGCTTCAAAAGTACTAATAAAATTGTAGATTTTGATCCAACAATGAATAATTCTGCTGTGAAGAACATTCTGTTCTTATCTTAAGTAGGAACTCTGAGTACACCTTTTTTTACTTATTTATATATGTATTTGAATGCATTTGTGCGATTTCAGGGAAATCAACTTCGATGGGGAAATTTGATAGTGCAGAATATGTAGTTCTCTTAGGAGATGTTGGTTCAGGAAAATCTACATTGGTCGAGAAACTTACCGGGGAGAAGGGAAGGAGTTCTGACTGCAGTACTAGTTGCACGAAGACATCTGAAGCTGTTTGTGTTCCAGATGGCAGCCTCATCATATCTGATACACCTGGAAGCAACCCAATGGATGAGGAATTGGAGCACAATGTTTGGATAGCAACAGCATTCAACTACAAACCAGTCTCAAGACTGTTTATTGTGGTTAAAGCTGAGAATCGCAAGGACACTGTTATCCGTAACATAAGCGAATACGCAAATCGTTTCCTGGAACCCGCCGAGATGGACGTATTGGGAGTCCTCGTTACACACATGGATACGGTGAAATGGACGGAGGAAGAGTTTAAGCACGACGTAGAAAGAAAACTTGGTATCGACACAGTTGTCTTCTCAGGTATGGACACCCAGGGAGACACGTTGCTGAGCAACGTCCTGAAGACCTGCACGAAGAAACACAACCTGACGGTTGATGACGAGAATTTTTTCAAATTCTTCAAACTTCACAGCAACCACAGGGAAATTCTTCGCTCTACTAGAGAAGAAGTTGAGAAATTTTCTGCTATGAAGCAAAATTTTGATGAAGCTAGGAAGAGTTACACTGGCAAGGATCTTGTTGATCTTGTCTTTGAATTTCAAGCATACATGACTGACCAAATAGTTCAGGCCCAGCAGAGGTTATCTGAGAAGAATAAGTTTACCTTTTACGGCGATGGTGCGGCAGACGAAGCAAGTCATGTTGCGAACTTGGCGAATCAACTTCGAATGATACTGTACGATATCAGAGTAGAATGTGTTGGGTATCAAAGCCAGCATGGTGTGTCCCAGCTGCGCAAGTGTCCACTGTGGTTTGATTTGGACCAAGGTAGAAGGCTGTGATGGTGCTACAACCTGTGGAAACCGCCCCAGCTCCGTCAACGACATCAGAGATTCGGCGTTTTCTGTTCTGGCGACTTTCAGCTTTGAATGGATCAAAAACAAGTTTAGCATTATCAAGCGTGGATCAAAGAACGTGAAATCTGAAAAAAGTTCCTCGTCCAATTTCGCTGGCTGTGGCAAAACAATCGACTGGAGTGGTATGGCTACCGTTGCAGTCCCAGATGAGTTCAGTGAGACTGTGAAAGTTTGCACAAATGATATAAAAATGCTTCCCCCTTCTGCATCTGGTTTCCGAAAACAACTGGCTAACCGGTTACAAACATGTGAAGTGGCGATGAAACAATCGAGCGAGCGGAACATTTCATGTTAAAGAATACTGAAGCAGTTTTATTTTGTATTGTATATACGAAATCTGTTCTTAGTTGTCTTGATATTTTTGGGATTTGTTCATATTCTCACAACATCATAACGTCTTTTGTTGTGTTTTACCTTCGATTATTGGCTTTACATGATATCGAAAGTGGAGTAGTGTCCCACAAACTACTTGGGTCTAAATTGTTTTGTTGTATTTGAATGCTTTTCGAAATTTTAATAATAAGCAACATCTGTAACATTTTAACTTGTAGTTTAGCGATTTTGACTTGAAATAAATCTATATTTTTCGAACAAATCAGTAACATCAAGGATTGACGCCTGTCCGCATTCTAAAAGCTCACTCACACTCAAACTCATTGAGCATGCAAGCGATCTTAATCTTCTCACAGGGTTTCCATACGTGTATTTACAGTCGAATAAAAGCTTGATCTTCAGTGTTGCATGACCTTGAATTTTTCCAATGGTTAAGAAAAAAAATTTTCATTAATCAGTAAAAATAAAATTTGTATGTCACACTGAATGTGTGTGAGTAAGCTTTTTCAACACAGGCGTGAGTATATCATATAGTTTGTCTTCAGTGTGTTAGCGCTGCTGATTTGGACGAACTCCATGATTTATGAGCGAACCTACAGCTAAAATTAATATACCTATAATGTAAACTGAAAGTAAGGGCCGATATATAGATTGGCAGATAGATTTGTAGTAGGTACTCACTAGAAATATTGCTCTCTCCCCACAACCTCATCACACAGATAACACACTCTCAAACACACAAACTCTAACCTGCTATCCTTTGAAGCTTTATACATTAATATAGAAAGCCAGGGCGAAATAATGGTCTAAAAGCGTCAAAAGAACTCGCGGTCTCAGTTACATAAAGTTGTTTTCTTTGAAGCAGTTCCCTGCTATATGCATGCTAAAGCCAACTCGTGAAGTTGAGCATGCACGGTTTCAAATTTAGTTTAGTTTTTTTTACATCAAGAACAAAAAACGCGTCCTGCTTATTGATAACACAACGTGTTATCGAAAAATACCTATATTCAACATTCTTTGTGGCCCAGCGTTTTCTATACGCGTTATTTCAAAACAATGCGAACCACATTCCTTGCAATTAAAGTACTAACATCGCAACTTAAGGTTTTTAGTCTTTGGTGAACGGCTGCACGTACAATCGTGACGGCATCGTTGATCGGCTAAAACACCAGGGGCCGGTTGTTCGAAAGGAGTTTATCTTAAACGTTGCCGGGATAAGCCAAAGTTTAAAACTATTCTCATATCTGATTTTGTGAATGACTACATCTTGTGCATTAAATATGTTCTTCCATATCATGAAAACTAAACTATTTACATCGAAATATGTCAGCTCATTTGTTTGCCCCCATACAAAACATGTATTCTCCCCTATTTATTTTCATACTAACTCTCCTGACGAAGGCCCTCAGGTCGAAACGTCGAGAAGTGTTTAGTCTGTTTAGGCTGTTGTTATACCACATTTGATGCTAAGTTTGAAGACGCTGCTACGCTGCTCCTTGGTTATATTGAAATATATAGATAATTTTGTTTTCCATTTTAAACTTATCCACTGTTCAAGCTACACGTCTTTCGAACACCGGCCCCAGGTGCATTGGTACCACATGATAATTCCGCACGCAGAACGATATGCGTATATGGCTGATGCTGAACATCGTAACATCAATTCCTAGAAGTAAAAAAAGACTGTTTACATGTAAGCATCCTTTTGCTTAGAAATCGAATTCGTGAAAGTCACTATATAGATGTGTTTAGAAAAGCATTGCTTTACATTCAAGGAGTATTATGGTTATATAAGGCCTGGTGTACACATGTAAATTTTAACACGGAGCGTTTATGGCAGTGCGTCATTTACTGTTACTGATTTATTAGAAAGTGTTTTACAAGAATCAGTTTAGATTATTTTATATCAATTTGCTTAAAGGGTTTGAAAACATGTTCCTTTGGGATCTCAAAGTCCAACCGAACAGCATTTGTCAAAATGGCCATGGCCCATAAATCTAAAATCTTCAAGGCCAAATATTCCTTGCCTGAGCAGTACATAACCGCTTGCTGTTAAAAATCCTATAAGAATATTATGACGAAAATCCGAAACAAGACAATACAAGTCTGTCCCTTACAATAATTTTCAGTTTCTTTTACCGGCACTGCCACTAAATGATGCCTTTGAGTAGATATGCGTTCAGCAGTCAGCACGTGTTGACCGTATATTTATCAGAATGATTTAAAAAATATTACCACGTTACCAATTAGTTTAGCCATATGAGGTGGTATAGACGTCTATTCATATTGCATTCCGTTCTTGATTTATTTTAAAGCTTTTTTTGATAACCCATTGACTCGTCATTACCAAGACCAATCTTGTGGACAATTTTAGTAGAATATAGTCTCTTATCACGTGTTATATTTTGTTTTGGTTTGGGTGATCTATGTTTCCGTTATTATGTTACCAAAAAATTAGAACCGGAACAAAATAGGAATCAAATAGCAGGAATTGCCGTGTCATAATTTTTCATATTTAAGACCTTCCCATTCAAGTTCCCGTATCAGTGAAGCCGGACTGGAAAGGTACTTGAGTTCAGCGCCACTCTTTATTGGTTTGTAAAGCTGTACGCCATCGCTATCGTCTGCTTGAAAAGCCAGAAAAGGTGAAGTACTAAATATTACTGTTGTAACATTTTAATAGCAGTCTATTCCTCGATTCGAAGCATGATACGTTTCGAATTGATCAATGAGTAATTTGAATGTCAATGTGTTTGATTCAGTTTGCTTGGTTTATTGCATGTATTTCAACAGTTCAGCCTTTATTTATTCTATATACATCAGGAACAAAAAAGCCCCATGCTCGTTGATAATGCTACAATTCCCCAGTACCAAGACCAATCTTGTGAACAGTTTTGGTAGAATATAGTCTGTCATCGCATGTTAATATTTGTTTCGGTTTGAGTGATCTATGTTTCCCGGTATTATGCTACAAGGAAGTTAGTACCGGAACAAAATCGGAATGAAATAGCAGGAATAGCCGTGTCATAATGTTGCATATTTAAGACCTTTTCATTCAAGTTCCCGTATCAGTGAAGACTGGAAAGGTATACTTGCGTCCAGTGCCACTCTTTATTGGTTTGTAAAGCTGTACGCCATCGCTATCGTCTGCTTGAAAAGGTGAAGTACTAAATATTACTGCATGTTGTAACATTTTAATAGCAGTCTATTCCTCGATTTAAAACATGATACGTTTCGAATTGATCAATGAGTCATTTTAATGTCAATGTGTTTGATTGAGTTTGCTTGCTTTATTGCATGTATTTCACTAATTTCAGCAGTTCGGCATTTATTCTACATATACATCAGAAACAAAAAAGCCCCATGCTCGTTGATAATGCTACAATTCCCCAGTACCAAAACCAATCTTGTCCACAGTTTTGGTAGAATATAGTCTGTCATCGCGTGTTATTATTTGTTTCGGTTTGGGTGATCTATGTTTCCCGGTATTATGCTACCAGGAAATTAGAACCGGAGCCTAAATTTTCAACTGAATTTTGATTTCTGGAATAGCAACTTTAAGAAATCAAATGCATCGTGACGGCGAGAATAACCAAACTCTGGGTGAATGCAAATACAAATTTTACGGCCGAATGCTAGTCAATGAAACTGAAAAACGAAAATGATTGTGAGAAGAACAGCTTGTTTTAGGGCAGATTAGACTTCCATAATAATTTTCTAATTTTCTTTCAACAGGAAGTAGCTATGTAATCACTGCATGTAATACCCAATTCAGGATTAAGGGCGTTGAAAGGCGAATTGGACATTGAAATTATATCAGAGGGGCAATTTTCCTAGGCGAATTTATATCCAATAAATTCATCATTGCCTTCAAAACTTTAGCCCCCATTAATGGACCTGAATTCATGTGACAGAGTGACACTAATACAGGAACTTGAATGGAAATGTCTTAAATAAATTATGAAAGAATTAGGGTGAGGGTTAGGGTTACTAGCTCATAACTACCTTTACTAGAGCAATTTCATTTCTCTAACTTTCCACCTGTTTTCCCAGTCATAGTACAACTTCAAAATTTGATGTTCTTCAAGTAATTTCGACAGCTTAGGTTGCTTACTCATGCGCAAACCTGCCGCGAACTTATAACTCAACTAATAATTCCTTTGTGCTGGTCCAACAGGAAAAACCTGAGTACAATTTCATCGACCTCCCAGGATTAGAAGCTTAGAATGCATTAACTCACATATACGGAACAATGTCTTCACTTAAGCTGGTTTTCCACTAGCGACTTTATTCCTTTGTGTTTGAGCAATTTGTTCCAGATTATTGCAGTTGAGAGCTCTGAGAAAAAGTAAAATGTCGCTTCGCGAGAAAAATATCGCTAATGGAAAACCAGCTTAAGACACCTGAAAATGGATGGGTATATGCGCATGAATCAGACACACCCTGTATTTCCCTTTTATCGTTTCTTGTTGTTTTGCTCTTTTTATTGTCTAAACTTTATTATTTTGTAATTTCGAACTCTTTTTAGGTAACAATTATTTGATACTTTTCAAATTGGGTTTACACATACTGCCGATTGGTCGAACACTTCGGTATGCAGTCAATCATCCAAGGACTTGTCAATATATTGATTTTTGTGATATTTTTGGGTTTGTTGCTGAAGCTAATATGGTACGTATATTTAGCTATAAATTTTTATAATCGAAGCTATTGAAAAAAATTTGTAAAATATCCGTAATAAAAATAATAAATAAAAATCTATATCTTGAAATACAAACATTTCCGACTGCGAACTAAGCAAAACCTGGCAAAAGATTTCATTTTAGCCCGCAAAATGCCCTATAAAGTTCTTTGATTGATTGCTCTTGCCTGCTTAAATAAATATTGTGTTGGTCTATTTTAGGATGAAAGTTGTTAAGAAATTAAAATTCGTAGTTAAAAGAGAAGACACAGGTAGACTGGCTCGTATAGAAATCGAAGCCAAGAACCAAGTTTTCGATTTGTTGGAGTCGAGCAGACTGCCGCTGAATTTTGAGAAAGACGCAATACTGTGTATGCGGCGAGAGGGAGACGATAATGACGTGAATGAAGTTACTAACCTAAATGAGATTGCAGATTCTAAAGTTATTTGGATAGTAAAGAAAAAGTTTACCGAAGAAATCTCCAGGGAAGATGGAAGTGCATTCCATTCCATTGGAAGAACCCCTTCGAAGTTTACGACGAATGCTTCTGGCCAACACCCTCGTAAGCCAACCCAGCAAGAGAAACTACTGAAGAAGTTAAAAATGCAGGCAATGAAAAATGAAACTGAGCGAGTTGACGGTAAAATTTAATTGTTAATTATAAATCGGAAGTCAGTTACTGGCGACTTTAACATTTCCAAGAAGGAAGTGGGCAATAGTACAGTACTTGAAAATGTTTTGAAATTAAACTGCATGAGTATTTGGAATTGTATATAGGTTGTAGTAACAATGTACTACTGTGCTCTGAAATGGTCATTTTCGAGGAACTTATGCAATGATATTTTAAAATCTGTGATTATGCATGCCTCTCAAATCTTCAACATCTTAATCGCCCCTGACTCCGTCGGACACTTCGAACTCGATGTAGCTTTCTCCACATTCAACCATGCATTTTTAGAATGAACGTGCTCCAACGTAGTTAACAGCGAGGTTCAGATTAATCGATTTTTTAATACCATGCACTAGTACATCTCGCTGATCTATGAGCGATTAAAATGTTCTATCAAAAATTAAAATGTTCCATAAGAATTCTTCGAGTTTAAGTTGTAATAAAGTAACGAACTGTGAGTACACCTTTTTATACATACTTTCCTAAGTCAAGTGTACCTTTAGGAAGGACACTGTTTTTCCTTACTTAGATGTATATTTAAATTTAGGGAAATCAACGATGCTAGGAAACTTTGACAGTGCAGAATATGTGGTTCTCTTAGGAGATGTTGGTTCAGGAAAATCCACAGTAGTTGAAAAGCTCACTGGGGAGAAGGAAAGGAGTTCTGACTGCAGTACTAGTTGCACGAAGACATCTGAACCTTTTTGTGTTCCAGATGGCAGCCTCATCATATCTGATACACCTGGAAGCAACGCAATGGATGATGAATTGGAGCACAATGTTTGGATAGCAACCGCATTCAACTACAAGCCAGTCTCAAAACTGTTCATTGTGGTTAAAGCTGAGAATCGCAAGGACAATGTTATCCATAACATAAGCGAATACGCAAATCGTTTCCTGGAACCCGCCGAAATGGACGTATTGGGGGTCCTCGTTACACACATGGATAAGGTGAAATGGACGGAAGAAGAGTTTAAGCACGACGTAGAAAGAAAACTTGGTATCGACACCGTTGTTTTCTCAGGTATGGACACCCTCGCTGACACATTGCTGGACGACATATTGAAGACCTGCACAAAGAAACACAACCTGACGGTTGATGATGAAAACTTTTTTAAATTCTTCAAACTTCACAGCAATCAGACGAAAATTCTTCGCTCCACCCACGACGAAGTTAAAAGGTTTTCTACAATGAAGAAAAATTTCGACGAAGCTAGGAAGGGTTTCACGGGCAAGGATCTTGTTGATCTTGTCTTTGAGTTTCAAGCATACATGACTGACCAAATAGTTCAGGCCCAGCAGAGGTTATCTGAGAAGAATAACTTTACCTTTTACGGCGATGGTGCAACATACGAAGCAGGTCATGTTGCGAACATGGTGAATCAACTTCGAACGATACTATTCGATATAAGAGTAGAATGCGTTGGGTTTCAAAGTGAGCATGGTGTGTCAGAGCTGCGCAAGTGTCCACACTGTGGTTTGATTTGGACAAAGGTAGAAGGCTGTGATGGTACTACAACCTGTGGAAACCGCCCCAGCTCCGTCAACGACATCAGAGATTCGGCGTTTTCTGTTCTGGCGACTTTCAGCTTTGAATGGATCGGAAACAAGCTTAACATTACCAAGGGTGGATCAAAGAACGTGAAATCTGAAAAAAGTTCCTCGTCCAATTCCGCTGGCTGTGGTAAATCAATCAACTGGAGTGATATGGCTACCGTTGCAGTCCCAGATGAGTTCAGTGAGACTGTGAAAGTTTGCACCAATGATATAAAAATGCTACCCCCTTCTGCATCTGGTTTCCAAGACGAGCTGGCTAACTTGTTACAAAAAGCCAAAGGAGCGATGAGACTATCCAGCAAACCTTCTGAAATCAAAGATTGAACGGGTCTCATGCACGTTTTTCTAACAACGTGGCTAATTGTACATATGAAATTTTTTAATAGTTTCAACTTTACTTGACTTCAAACAAATTGGTTAGCTTAGTTTCTTCGAGTGAACATTTCATCGTTTAGCCTTGATAACAACTTAAATAACTAACTTTTAAAATCTAGTATTGACTTTAGTGATTTTAAAGAAACCGAGAGTAAAAATTATGAATCCAGCTTAGTTCATTCACTAATTTTGTACGCGTCATCAAAAGGTGGGGATCAAAAGGTGACCCCATCAGCAACTGGCTGGGACCGGTTGTATAAAAGCCGGATGCTGGGATAGTGATTTTTTCAACCGTTCTAAAAATGCTTTAAAAGCAGTAAAATTTCAGCTTTGGAACCACAATTATTGTTAAAGAGAAATTATACCCAACAACGGGCGATTTCAAAGCGATTAAAAAAAAGCACTATACAGTGGATAGCGCCATCCCGCTTTCATACAACTGGCTCCAGGGGCATCAAGCCCGTTTAGCTTAAACGGTGGACAAGTCAAAATTAAGTAACACTCTTACAACTCTCTTGAATGAGTCAACTTGAATTCTATATATGCACTGAATATGTAGTTGTAATTTGTAAACAGTATCTTTGTATGAAAGTCAAAAAGTTCGCTTGTATAAAACGATAATTAAATAAAACGATAAACTTGCTTTCTATTTTGAACTTAAGCCTAGTTCACACGTCGCATTTTGGTCGCGTCGAATGCAATTCAAACAATAGATAATGAGATGGTACTCCTTATTCAGCCTCATTATCATCTCATTATCTATTGTTTGAATTGCATTCGACGCGACCAAAATGCGACGTATGAACTAGCCCTTATCCACCGTTTAATTAAGCTAAACGGGCTTGATACAACCGCCCCCTGATGCCTAATGATGAGAATTAAGAAATTCTTCGAAAATTTAAACGAAGAAATTTTAAAGAAAGAGTGTTGGCAAAGCAATCATTCACTGTTGGAATCATTTTCCCCTTCTACGAGCAGGATCCTCTCGGTAAAAAACATTCATAGGCATTTTTTGGTGGATATTAGGAATTCTTAAAAAAATGTGACAAACTTCTAAAAAAAAGGCTGAATGTCAATGGCCACAGCAAAGGTACACGCAGATATGAATTATATTGGCGTAGATAACGTATTTATTAAAGCTAATTGAAACAACTAGAAATGGCGAATTTGGCGTACCAAGATAGCGTTAAAGCCAGCCATGGTTTATATTCTGAACTCAGCCCAAGATTCCCTCAAAATTCAGGTATAATAGATGACCGACTCAGACATGTATGAAAATTACCATTTCTGAATCAACGTGTACGCGTGTTCTCTTGACCGATGGCGATATGTGGTTTTTTGTTATATGTTGACCTTAAAATGTATATTAGCCATATGAGGTGGTAGACATTCATATTGCATTGCGTTCTTGATTTATTTTAAAGCTCAGTGTTCTGATAACTTATTCATTCATCATTACCAGGACCAAACTTGTGGACAATTTCAGGAGAAAAAAATGGAACATATTCTGTCATCACTGCAGACACAGGTTATTATTTTATATTCGGTTTGAGTGATCTATGTTTCCCGGTAATACGGTATATTATGCCACTGAAAATTTGAACCGGAACCAGAATTTTCAACTGAACTTTGATTCCTGAAATAGCAATTTTAGGAAATCAAATCGGAGGAAAAGCCCTAATGTTTTCATATTTAAGACCTTTCCATTCAAGTTCCTGTATCAGTGAAGACTGGAAAGGCTGCGTACGTTCAGTGCCATTTTTAATTGGTTTCTAAAGCTGTATGCTATCGTCTGCTTGATAAGGTGAAGTATTAAATTTTTGTGTTGTGAGATAATATTAACCTGCAATGTAAATATGTATTATTCGCTGATTCAAAACATCGTACGCTTTGCAAACCCAGTCTAATGTTTTCATCAGAGTGATCGGATGACGTGGACCTCTGTTATAAACTTATATAATTTATGAATGAGTTTGTTTTGTCTTTTGAGTTTGTGTTTTGTTTTCTCTGTAAATTAGCAGTTCCCTGCTAAAGCCAACTCGTGAAATTAAGAGCGGTCAGTCAATCACCTAGGAGCAAAAAAGCGCCCTGCATGCTCTTTGATAACGATAAAGTGTTCAGAAAAATTCCGTTCAACTATCAACAATCAACAATATCTCACGGTGACCTATAGAAATTCGTATTATTTCCAACAACTGCGAACCACATTTCTTGTAATTAAAATACAAATACCGGAACTGAAAGGTCTTTGGCCTTTGCAGTGAACGACTGTACGCGCAAATGACATCGCTGGTCGGCTAAAAGCACAAGGTGCATACAAGTGCCGCGGAACCATGCCTGAAAGCATGATGTCAGCGTTTGGGTTGCCAATCTCGTTCCAACGGGAATTCTCTAAAAGGCTGTTTAGGAAATTATCATTTTACTGTACATGTCTTCGAAATTGTCACGTGATTGAGGTCTATAGAGGATCATTGGGATTGTTCGGTTTCGCATTATATCAATGCCATGATAGCCTACATCATATTCCTAGTTTCAAACTTGCATTCCCGGGGAGAAGAGGTTTTTATTAAGAGCTCTTATATAAATACTATCAATACGAACATTCGCGCCTCCCCCCAAAAGCATTAATCCACACATTTTTACTTAATACATCCCTATACAGAGTGAGTTAAAAACATTGTTGTTAATTGATGTGAAAACCTAATAATTTCGATAAAGTACAGTTTTATCGCTCCTGTTGAGGATTAGAATGCATTTTAACTCCCAAAAGAAACAGCATCTCCGTTTTAGATTAATCAATGATTAATGCACTTTAAACACATTCTGCCAAATAACAGGAGTTAAATATATGGGGCAAATTAGCAATAAATCAGGCATAAATCAGTTTTTTACTCAACCTGCATTTGTGTTTCTTCGGTTAAGTGTTATTTAGCCCTTTTTATTGCTTAATCTTTATTAGGTAACCATTGTATTTTCGTTAAATTTGCTTGCAATTGGTCGAACAATTCAGCATGCAGTCAATCATGCAAGGACTGGTCAATGTATTGATTTTTGTGATATTCTTGGCTTTGATGCTGAAGCTTATATGGTAAGTTTATTTATTTATGGATGTAATAATTAAATAGAAAATAGAAGAAAATTGTTTATAACCATAATAGTAATAAAATCAAATTTATCAATGCGTCTTAAAATAATCTTTTGAAACAATAATATCTTATCATAAAATTTTAAAATTAATTCCCGATTTTTAAAATTTAATTCATAGTCAGTAACAATATCAACTGGCCTTACTAAACCTGGCCTTTTTACGGTTTAAAACATCTTAGGCTCTATATCTCTCTATACTCTCGCAATACTCTATATTCGACTGGATGAACATGGGCGTCAATCGAACGTTAATTGAGGGGGACCATAATCATATATTCTGTTATGCCAGGCTGATATTTATTGAAAGTGAAATAGTTTTCAAAATAAATAATGGAAGGAATAATTACATTGTCATACAAACTTGGAAAAATAGACGCATTTTCAGGCCTGCAAAAGCTGTCATTTCAGCCCGCGAATTTTACGATAAAGTACTTTGAATTGCTCTTATATATCTGCTTGGTAAATGAATATTGTTTTCTTTTTAGCACGAATGTTGTTAAGAAATTAAAATTCGTAGTTAAAAGAGAAGACACAGGTAAACTGGCTGAAATAGAAATCGAACCCAGGAACCAGGTTTTTGACTTGTTGGAGTCGAGCAGACTGCCGCTGAATTTTGAGAAAGACGCAATACTGTGTATGCGGCGAGAGGGAGAAGATAATGACGTGAATGAAGTCACTTACCTAAATGAGACTGTAGATTCTAAAGTTATTTGGGTAGTAAAGAAAAAGATAACCGAAAAGGACTCCAGGGAAGAAGGAAGTGCATTCTATTCGATTAGAAGAACCCCTTCAATGTTCACGAATATTACAAACGATCCCCGTTCTCCAACGAAGAAAGAGAAGCTACTGAAAAAGTTAAAGAGGCGGGCAATGAAAAATGAAACCAAGCGAGTTACATGTAAGATTAAACTGTTAATAATAATAACGGAAAACAGTCACTAGTCACTTTTGCTTTTTCAATTGGCCATGGCGGAGCGAAATTGGCAGGGTGTGAGAGGGCAAAATATCTTTCGTCACTGCAATAATACTGAGTTTAAAAGAAATTGTATTGAAATTCAAAGTACATAGGATTTGAAAGCAGGTTGTAGATACAGGTTGTAGAAGCAGATGTACCTGTCCTCTAAAATGGATATCTCGAGGATATAGTGCAATCAAAATTTTGAATCTCTGCCACTCGTTATTTCGAGCTCGCTGTAGTTTTCTCGAGACTCAACCCTGCATTTTAGCATGAACCTGCCTCAACGTTGTTAACAGTGAGGTTCAGATTGATTTTTTGCTACCATGCACTGACACTACATCTCGCTGATCTATTGAGCTCGTGATTAGTTAATCTGATTGCGGACGTCAAATCTTAACTTCGCAAAGCACTTTTGGATAAATCCCTATATTTTCCTACTTACATGTATATTTGAATTTAGGGAAATCAACGATGCTAGGAAACTTTGACACTGCAGAATATGTAATTCTCTTAGGAAATGTTGGTTCAGGAAAATCCACAGTAGTTGAAAAGCTTACTGGGGAGAAGGGAAGGACTTCCGACAACAGCGTCAGTTTCACAAAAACATCTGAAGCTTTTTGTGTTCCAGATGGCAGCCTCATCATATCTGATACACCTGGAAGCAACCCAATGGATGATGAATTGGAGCACAATGTTTGGATAGCAGCAGCATTCAACTACAAGCCAGTCTCAAAACTGTTCATTGTGGTTAAAGCCGAGGATCGCAAGGACAATGTTATCCATAACATAAGCGAATGCGCAAATCGTTTCCCGGAACCCGCCAAAAAGGACGTATTGGGAGTCCTCGTTACACACATGGATAAGGTAAAATGGTCGGAGGAAGAATTTAAGCACGACGTAGAAAGAAAACTTGGTATCGACACCATTGTCTTCTCAGGTATGGACACCCACGCTGAAATATTGCTGGACGACATATTGAAGATCTGCACGAAGAAACACAACCTGACGGTTGATGATGAAACCTTTTGTGAGTTCTTCAAACTTCACAGCAACCAGACGAAAATTCTTCGCTGTACCAACGACGAAGTTAAAAGGTTTTCTGCAATGAAGAAAAGTTTTGTTGAAGCAAGGAAGAGTTTCACGGGCAAGGATCTTGTTGATCTTGTCTTTGAGTTTCAAGCATACATGACTGATCAAATAGTTCAGGCCCACCAGAGGTTATCTGAGAAGAATAACTTTACCTTTCACGGCGATAGTGCGGCAGACGAAATAGGTCATGTTGCGAACTTGGTGAATCAACTTCGAACGATGCTGTACGATGTCAGAGTAGAATACGTTGGGTTTCAAAGTGAGCATGGCGGGCCAGAGCTGCCTAAGTGTCCATACTGTGGTACTACAAC